TTTTATAATTTTGTATGAATAGATGCTTTTGTATGACTAAGATGCTTTATAATTTTTTAAACCTGTCTCGATAAATTTGTTTGTTTAGCTACATCCAACATCGATCCATATTACTGCCGTTGTAGTGGAATATAAAACTCCTACAGGCAGAATTAACCAAGGTGTAACTACTAGCTGGTTAAAGGAAAAGCATCCTTCAGATCCGCCATGTTATGTTCCTATCTTTGTGCGGAAATCTCAATTTCGTTTACCAACTCGAACGTCAACTCCTATTGTTATGGTTGGTCCGGGTACTGGTATAGCACCATTCAGAGGATTTATACAAGAACGTAATCTCGCAAGAAAGGAAGGTAATAATCAATATAATTTAAAAAATATAAGAAATTGGTTTGTATTACCTATTAATTTTGATAGGTATTTTAAAAAGTTGTAATTTATTAAAAACGTTTGTTCATTACTTTTTATAAATATCGGTTTATCTTCTTCCAGGAAAAGAAGTGGGAGATACAATTTTATACTTTGGATGTAGAAAGAAAGATGAAGATTTTCTTTATAGTGAAGAACTTGAAGAATATGTAAAGAGTGGTACTTTAGTGTTACATACTGCATTTAGTAGAGAACAATCTCAAAAAGTGTACGTCACACATTTATTAGAAAAGAATAAAGATGAATTGTGGAGAGTAATTGGTGAACAAAATGGACATATTTACGTGTGTGGGTTAGTATAAAATCATATTAGTAATACTAACATTTGAAATTATGCATTATTAAACTATAATGTATATTTGTAAAATATTTATTTTTTTGTTAGTGATGCGAAAAATATGGCACGTGATGTGCATAATATTTTATTAAAAGTTGTAATGGAAAAAGGAAACATGTCAGAATTAGATGCCACAAATTATATCAAGAAGATGGACTCGCAGAAACGCTACTCAAGCGACGTCTGGAGTTGAATTATGTTATTTAATTTAATTCCATGGATATTTATAAGTTAAATTGTTTATGCAAACGTTTTAAATATGCCTTTATGAAATCGTAATCGAAATCGTAATCGTTTAAAATATAAATTGATTATTATAGACATTAGAAAAATCATATTCACTCCAATTGTATTTATTATACACAAGTAGTTAATGAATTTTGTATAAAAATCTATTTTTTCTCCTATTCCACAATGTTAAAGTTTCTATTGGAATTAATACAGTGTAATAATCAATTTAAAGTATCCTTTTAAAATTGACCAATATATACAATACTTGTATAATATTATAAAATAAACATTGTTTGATACAAGTAACATAAGATAATAAAGCAAATTTTATATTTTACATAAAATAATAATGATACTTTATGCAATGAATTTCTTTAAGCATGTAAAAACGTGATAGTACTTTTTTTTTAAGAAAAAAAAAATAGGTAAAGAAATAGAGAAAATATAGAAACTATTGTGATCAAAAATATATAATCTTGTACTTTTGAAATGACTGTACAAAAAATTATACGTAAGAATATTTTTCTTCCTCTGTCGGAATGGAAGCAATAATAAATATATTGTTAAAAATTCATGACTTTATATTTCTTAGAAATCAGCTATTGTTTCGTTTTTCTAAAAAACTGCAGTATATTAAATGTGATAAAAATTTCTATTTTATTACATTTTACAAACGTATATTTCATTGAAGTATGCATAAATTTCAATAGACATAATCATATTAAAATAGCGTTTAAAATATACTTATACTTCATACTTATGTTACATACCTTATACTTTCACAAATTATCTAGTCTAGATATTTTAATATCGTGCTGCATTGACAAGTTTTTCAGTTAAAAATAAGTCATGATTTTGTTATCATTTAAATTCGAATGAATTTGCACGTAATAGAAAAATTATATTTCAATTTCCACCTCTTTCGCTCATTTATTTAATTCTACTTCTATTAAATTATACTTCTACATTACTTTTTACCATTTATAAAGTATTTATAAAATTACTTTAAGATTTAGATTTATGTAAGTAAAATGTTTTCTG